AAGATTTATGAAAAACGTTTAATAAATAAATTCAAATGTCACATATAGGACACAAACCTTCTCAGCCCATTTCAGTGCAGTTTTAGAGCCGGTCCATCAACAACTCATGCATTGGTGAATATACATGCAATGATATACGTTCTACGAACATCTATAAAACTATCCGCAACTACTATGTCAGGACACGAACATATATTCCCTATAAACCAAGGAATAGTGAGAAAGTTACAGAACAGAGACTTTGTACAAGGTTTCTGTGCTGCGTCAGATTTCTGAAATCTTACATTCAACCAAATTCTTAGCTATCCCTGGCCTTTATGTACTAAACTAATCGTATATGCAGATGACGTTGTTTTCATCATCCGTCGAAACACACGTAAAGAAATTGAACGACATAGAAGTTATATTTGGAACATCTTAGTAAAACAATAAAATTGAATCAAACTTGCAATATCAGAAGCCAAATCAATTGCACTTCTGATTCTCTAAAAAGGGGCAAAAATGGCTGAAAGAAATCTTATATTCTCCTGAATAGATGTAACATCAAATTCTTCAGTGAAATTAAATATTTTGGCCTAATATGGTATAAAAAGTACCTGGCTCTGTCATATCGCACATTTAAGGACTGAAACACAATCAATAGTCAATAAAGAAGGCAATTCGAAGGTGGCAAAAAGGTAAAAATCCGTATCTGCAAAAGCTCTTTTATAACACTATAATAGATAGGAAAGATAATCATCTATGCAACAGCTATCTGGACATTGCCAATGAGCGGATAGAAATCAAAAAATTTCCTAGTGATACAACGTTCCTTTGCATTTACCATCACTTAGGCATATAGAACTACACTCATGTCCATAAATTAAGGATAATTCAGAGTCACGCGGAAATCGAACTCTAAAATAAATATATCACCTGTAAAATCACTACACACATCTTCAAGAATCATATGCAAATTTCAGGAAGTAACCAGATGACACCGATGGTACGTCATAATGACGAGAGTGTAAGGTGTAGGTGGTGAATTTAATTATGGCAAAGCACACGAGGGCTATCTGCCTAAGGGGAGGGATGCTTTTCGTGGAGGACTTTCTAAGGGAAACTGGCTCGTATACACGTTACACATGGGGAAAACCACGAAAACGCCCATGCAGCCAGCCCGTTCGCGGGATTCGAACCTCGGACCGAACTACCAGTGTTCAGCGACTTTACCGCTCGGCCGCTGGTGGGCTCATACGAGAGAGTGATATATAAGGAATATGTGATAATAAGAGAGTGATATATAAGGAATACAGGCAAAGAATTAAAATTGTTTTCAGGTGCTTTATAAGCATTTCAGTGCAATAACCGAATAGTTATGACACAAAGGACGCATTTGGATGATTTTTTACGTGGTAGAATTATCGGCCGTCTGGAATGTGGGCGTACCCAACTGGAAGTATCAGACGAACTTGGAATTGCTCAGAGTGTCATCTCCAGGCTTTGGCTACGATTCCAAGATGATGGTAATGTGAGTAGACGTTACAGCACATGTCGCCCCAGAGTTACAACGCCGAATGAGAATCGGTATTTGGCAGTTACTGCCAAAAGAAACAGACCTGTCTCGTCAGCTCTCTTCAGCCACTGGTACGACAATTTCAAGGCAGACACTGTACAGACGCTTAGGGCAGATTGGTCTATATGCTCGTAGACCTGTCAGATGCGTTCCACTTACTGCAACTCACTGTCGCCTGCGGTTAGCCTGGAGTAGAGAGCATGCATTGTGGACACCGGAACAGTGGGCTTGTGGGATGTTTTCCGACGAGTCCAGGTTTAGCTTGCAGTCTGATTTCCGCCGGACTTTTATATGGAGAACTCCAGGTACTCGTTACCACCAAGTAAACATCATTGAACGACACCGTTACGGTGGTGCAGGAGTGCTCGTTTGGGGTGGAAATATTCTGGGTTCCAGAACTGACCTGCATGTTCAAATTGGAAGCATGACAAGCCAAATCTATCGGGACGTCATTCTGGAACAACATGTACGTTTGTTTCGGGGCGCCATGGGCGCACAATTTGTGTTTATCGAAGACAACGTCCGTCCTCACCGTGCAAACATCATAAGCGAATGCCTTTAATCGGAGGATATCACCCGTATGGACTGGCCAGCATTCTCACCGGACTTGAAACCAGTAGAGCACGTGTGGGACATGCTTGGCCGACGAGTTGCAGCCCGTCAACCTCCTCCTACATGTCTACCGGAACTTCGGAGAGCATTGCTTTTTGAGTGGTGTAATATCCCTCAAGATCAGATCGATAATTTGATACTCAGCATTTCTAGGCGTTGTACGGACTGTATTGTATCGTATGGGAGACATACAATGTATTAACAATCATACCAATCATGTAATATTGGCTTTTTGCAAATAGGTTTTTTTTTTTGTAATTTGCTCCAGGGAGAAAAATCGCTAATTTTTTTAATAATATCAAACATATAGCATCTTTTTTTGCTCTTTACCTTTTGTTTAATAAATAAGCTTTACAAATAAGTCAAATTTGTTTTGCTTCTAACTCTTCCTTTGCCTGATTTTGCATTATCCTTAATTTATGGACATGAGTGTATTTCTACTGACTCCGACAATGTCCTAGCAGGTTTGCTAACTCTTTCTGTACGAAAGAAAGGACAAGCACACTAATGAACGCAGTGATGAAAAGAGAAGCACACTAATGAAGCAACACTAATGAAGCTTCTCCCATTTGCTACTAGACAACGATTTACAGTCTGGTGGAGTTTGATGATCCAGCTTCTATCTCTTACGTAGTACATCTCGCAGAGAAAGGCTGGAATTAACGTCACATTAACAAACCGCCATAGCTGGAACTTAGATCCGCTATCTTTGCTGACGTGTCCAAAGCCGAAATTGGCGTTGGATGGGCCTTTATATATATATATACATGAATAGTTTCTCAGAATTATTTCGTAGGAAACGCCTTTATGCGGCATAAAATAGTGTTTTTAAAGCTGAAGCACTTGCACTGAAGCAAGTAATCGCAAATGCTACTATAACAAGAAATCTTGAAAATATTCCCATAACCTTAGACTGTCTCTCAGCACTGTATGCAGTCTTCAATCCACATTACACATAATTAATAACAAAAAATATTCAGTTGCTTTTAAGACATCATGTGAATCTTAACAAAAGCACATGTAATAGGCTAGAGTAGGCTAATCTAATGAACATGCAAACTCTTTAGCCGAAGGAGCTTCTAAAATATAAATATACATCAACATCCTCCTCTCAGCACCCTATTGCCTCTTTTAAACAGCATATCAAATTCTCGTCATTGTAGCAATGGCCACAAAGCATGAAACAGTACTGCCATACAGCGGAAGAACCCTTAATTTAATTTCAAAACTCAGTGACAGACTATACTCTGTACTACAACTAAACATATTTATAAGTGGTCATGACCCTTTTATCTCTTTTTACTACAGGCGGGCAGTTTTGTATATTGATAGGTCTACCCGTCTGTTATGCGAAAGCATGCTGATTTCCCTATACACTTATGCGCTTTTCGACAACGTGGCATTTATAAGTGGTCATGACCCTTTTATCTCTTTTACTATGCAGTTTTGTAATTGATGATTTCCGTCTGTTATGCGAAAGCATGCTGATTTCCCTATACACTTAATATGCGCTTTTCGACAACGAAGATCAGCACTTAAAAACGAAATATTCCGAAGACTTCAGTCTTACGGAAGAAACTGAGCAAAATCACCAATATAAGTAGCGTGTCTTGGATGAGACATTGTTGCGACAATAATAATTTTTACAATTCCTGCTCCTTTGCTTCGACAGTATGCAAGTGTATTGTCGTATGCAAGTGTACCTGCACAATACAAACTAATGACTTAAACTCTAACTGATACTACTGTAAATTCCTTTATATGTTGTCTGATCAAATCATAATTAATGCAAAGATAATTTTTATGTGCCAATATGTGCATTATCACGTGTGTTTGCATGTGTGTATTGCTGTTGTATTACTTATTGCTGCTACTTTATGTAAGTGTATCGTTGTATATGTATTGTATATATCTATCTATGTATATATTCCCTGTAATGTTTAAATTATAAATTCTCAAAGCGGTAACTATCATATATAAACAAAATCTACCAACAAATGCCTTTAAATTATACTCCCGAGGGGTAGTTTTGGAACCACGGAAAAGTGTCACTTCCAGATAGGACTACGAGAAGGACAAAATCTGATTACCTATGTTCAACACAAAGTGTCCTCATCTTCCGTCACCTGTATCACCCTAGCAAAGGAGGACACATTCAGTATTTTTGAAATATGTATACAAATTTGGCGTGTTTGCTGTTGCGTTATAATAAAATTTGGTATCTATTATATGGTTTATTTAAGAAATTTTTAAAATGTTGGACGGGATTAGAAATAACCGAGAATTATTGCCATTTACGATAGGGATATAATTATTTAGTGATGTAAGATCTTAATGGTCATTTTATTAGATACAATCAACAAACTGCTTCCTCTTTAAATTTGGGGAAATAATTCTTTGCAGAGTCACATATTAAATAGCATGTTTTTGAAAATATTAGGATTATAAGAGTTATGAAACAAGCAGTTGCCTTGAGAAGCAATGGGAACGGACTCGCTTCAAACTTTTCATGTTTAACTTTAAGAAAAGTCTTTAAACAGTGTAATCCTTTGATAAAAATCAAAACTAAGTAATTCTTCAAGCTCTTATCTTTTTTACGTTTCTTAAAATAATTCTAACTATTTATTCGAATCAATTTAGTCCAAGGTACGACAATTAATTTTATTTAGGTGAAATTAAATCCTGCTAATTAGAGAGTTCGTGAAGTTAAAGAATGTGATTATTTTATTTTAGAGGAGTTAACAGGGAAGAAAAAGAGAAATAATTTAAAACCTCTATTTTTCTACTCTCATTAAAATTATCCCTTCATTTTTTCCCATCCTTTTTTTTCTAGAGTGAAAGGTGTGACTGGCCTTCGCGTGGTCGACGCTTCAGTGATGCCGAAATTACCGTCTGGCAATACCAATATACCTGTCATCATGTTGGCTGAAAAGGCATCAGATATGATCAAGAACACAGTACATTGCCCTGTTTATAATAATCATGAGAAGGGCGCTCTACAGCTATCTCAGTTTTCATTTTACAGGATATGGGATTTAGCTATGCAACAGGAAGATAAAGAATTTTTCCTTAACTCTTGAATGCTTGAAAATAGTTTAAAATTATGAAAATTTGTTTGTTGCCTTTCCTGGAAGTTTACAAAATATTTAACGAATACTCGCTTTCATCGACGGCAGTTACGCCTTTGCATTTTGTTATACGTATTTAATGTATTAGAGAAATAAAAAAATTAACTGTGGCTGTCTGAAATAAAATTTTAATTCTGGCTATCAAACTTATGGATTTCTTCTATTTTATGTGTTAGTATTTTAAAATCTGAACGTTTTAAGTTATATGCTATAAACTATCGAAAACCTTGCAATTTTTTTTCTGCGCTAAATTAATCATAATGTTATTTTTTACTGAAGGCACATTTCTTATTCATGCAGTAAAAATGTATATGCCACTGACAGTCGCTGACTGTGAAAGGGTCCAGGTTCAAATCCCCGAGAAGGCATTGATGCTTGTAAATGTATAGTGTCGGTGCGGCATGGCGGCACTCTAAATATGTGGCGAGCCGAAAGTTCTCTCGTGTGGTTTGGTGGAAAGGGAGAAGGGGCCCTCGGATCTGTCCCCCCCAGAATGCTCTTCATAAAATTATGGTGAGGAACTCAGCTAATTCGCACTGCCACCTGAATGGTGTTCAAGGTTGTTGCCAGCGGCAGACGTATTATAGCGCTCCTTGCCACCAGGAGTATTGTGGGGTTGGACTGACTACGTCAGCATTAATGAGCATAAGCAACAACAATAACAATAAAAATGCATGTAATAACATTTTAAACGTTTTCTAGATACGTCTTTAAACTCTTTTTAATTAGCATATTCTCCTTTTTAAATTTTGCAATATATCATGCTAAGTTCCTTTAATAAATTTTAGATGGTCCAGTTCTAAGTAGATGTAGCACTTTTTTATCAGTCTTTTAATGTTAAAATGTTAGTTAAAGCATGTACGGACTGTCTTTGAAATGAAAGAAGGATCATATGCAGAACTTTCTAAGCAAAACTGTTAACTATTCACATCATACACAGGAAAAACGACGAAAACTCCATGCAGTCGGTCCGTTCGTCAAAAGTTTAAACCGGGTCGAATTGCTAGTGTTCAGCTCTCTTATAATTAAATGTTAAACTAGGCAATATACCTTTTTGTGACGCGTTTCTTTTCCCCAGAAAGGCCCACTAGCGGCAGAGTGGTTAGGTCCTGAACACTTGTAGTTCGGTCCGAGGTTCGAATCTCGCAAACAGGCTAGTTGTATGGGTGTTTTTATGGTATTTAATGGATATTAAGTCAAGCGCCCGGCCATTAAAAATATATAAAAACATTGTTGTAAAAAGCAGTTTATTTTCTCTGAATTTGTCGCGGCTTTTTACCTTTCTGGCTTGTCGTAGTTAAATCAACAGGATAGCCGTTAGCGTAATAAGTTTTTATTTTAATGAAATTACATGGCATGTAATAGATAATTGGCCCAATATTGATAATAACCGAGTGGCTCATATTCATCATCACAGATAGTCAACGTCAAAAACGTCTTGTCGGCAGATTTCTGAATTCTAAACTTTAACGAAGTGAAGACCCACTGTAAAGACCCTCTTGTTTTCACACCATGCTCCCCTGTTGAATAATGTTTTGATTACACTGAAGTCCTGCTTTGTATTCTGTCACTGACAGTGAATAAAAATTACTATCAATGTTTATCGTGGAACGAACTTCTAAAAAAAATTCAACCCAGTGTTTCTTCATTTCTGTTGTCAAGACTTTTAGTACCCACCTGGTGAATTTTTTCGATATTCCTAGTTTTTCGAGCAAGATTTTTCTACTCATGCAGCACTGATGCCTATTGCCATACAAATCCGAGAAACTATCATCAGTTTAATTTCTGTCACATATTTCACGACTTTAGCTCGACTTTAGTGCCATTACTTCAGTAGCCACATCTACACTGCGGTAGGGTCTGAGATCATCATTGAATTACGTTTCGCCTTCTTTTCCTCTGCTCTTTAGGGCACGATCTTCCTTGTTTGCACAAAGTAGCCCGTATTTTGATGCTCGAATAGGAAGGTACAGTATCATCGTAGACTTCAAGCAGGCATTTATGAATATTTGTTGGTGTTATGCTCGCTTTTCTTTAGACCACAATCACTGAAATGTTAAAAAATTTTAAGTATTAACAGATATCACTGATTGACAACAATTAAAAGCTTCTATAAAAACAAATAATTGCACCTGCTGTGTGTGTGCTTTCCTTTATATACTTTAAAAGGAGGACTCAACGATTTCATCACATTTTGTCATGTCCTTATTGTAGTTGGATAGGGTAAAATCGAAACATAGTCGACGCAGACAGCAGCCGATGTTCAGTAGGCGCCATTTAAGCTGTTCTCAGAGACGACAATTTAAAATACTTATTATTACGAGATTTTAATATATTTAATTGATCCAAATCTTTAGCTGTCGAGGATTATGGAACCAGGGTAGGACTTAGAGTTTACTGAACATCCCTCGCATTATCTGTAATGACACAACAAATGAATTCTCTCAATTATTATGTCTCTACTAAATTATTAAATGTCTTTTAAGTTTTAGTTTGGAAGGTAACGCAGGACGACGTTGAGTTTACCTTCTAATCGTTGAGACAGACATTTTTGGATGATGGTAACATTGGCCATATTGTAAGGAACTTCATTTATATATCCTCTGATGAAGAGTCCATTACTGCCGTCACTTACTAATCTAAAATGCCTTAAAATGAGGATTCTCAGTATCTGGCAACTTCTACCCTGAGAAATAATTACTAGTTTCATTCGTTTCTGAGAGCAGTCTTAGTTCCCGGGTGTTGCAGGATCCTCTGCAGTTCCTTCTTACGTAGCCCTCCCCATCCCAGTTTCAGTACTTTAGGATCGGTTTGTTGCCACTTCTATTCTTTCTCAAGGCATTGAGTTGTTTGGTTGAATCACCTAGAAGAGCAATTACTTTATTCACTGGTTCCTAGACAAAAGGCAGCTCTGATTAGGTGATAGTCTCTTCAGATGGTTTGCCGGGTTGCCTCGAACTTCATGGCGTACACTAAATGGCACATTTTAGACTCTTGACGTTCGGGATCAAAAGATCCAGAAAGGGTTTCGCAGGGCTTTCTGGATTTTTTGATCCTGAATGATCGAATCATCGATCAGGATTTTCCTTGTTTCTATCAGGCAGTCCAAAAAGCTGAGATGGGACAACCTTTCAGCATCTGTTATGTTAAAAAGTTTCGTCGTGAGAGGATCGAATAAACACAAAAAAAATATATAACTTATCTGGTTGGTGACATCTTGAAGTGGAATCAGAGCTCATATCTTAGCTCTATCCTTACGTCACTTGGCAAATCCGCAAGACAGAGACTCGAATCGGCACGACAATAAATTACATCAGCTATACCGTCAAATCTTACGCCTGCTACTGGTTTCCATAGAAGAAAATTGTTCCCACTGGAAGCAAGAGAACAGCTTACACCGCACGCCTGTCTGCCTAGACTCTCAGCTCCACCAACGAAAACGTAGACAATTAAGCTAGGCATTTTAGAGAACGGCTAACGCAGGCTTCCAGTTGACTAAGGTGACATAATTCCTTCTGTTTTCAAGTCGGAGTTCAGAGGACATCGTCCTGACTTTTGCCGATACAGATAGAGACCCAAGTCTCTGTTAATTTTTTTTTTTTTTTTTTGTTATTCGCTCAACAGTTTTTTTTTCTTCGCATTTTTGAGAAAACCCGCGGCCGGGGAGCATAATTGCCGCTCCCCGCCGGAAGCACTGCTCGATGCCGACTAAATCTTTTCCTTTCTCCTTCGCAACACCCACAAATTTTTTCTCAGCCTCCGTCAACAAGTCCGTCAAGCCCGAAAGTCAGCGAATCCAAGCAGTGAGTGCCTAAGCGAGTCAGAGTAAGTGTGTCTCGCCTCTTAACCAAACGCGGCCGGGGAGCATATTTGCCGCTCCCCGCCGGAAAACATCCCGCTTCGTAATTACATTTTGTCCAGCAAGCCCGAAAATCAGCGAGTCAGTCAGAGAGTGCCTAAGCGAGTCCAGAGTAAGTGTGTTCTCGCCTCTTAACCAAACGCGGCGGCCGGGAGCATATTTGCCGCTCCCCGCCGGAAAACATCCCGCTTCGTAATTACATTTTGTCCAGCAGCAAGCCCGAAAATCAGCGAGTCAGTCAGAGAGTGCCTAAGCGAGTCCAGAGTAAGTGTGTCTCGCCTCTTAACCAAAACGCGAGGCCGGGGAGCATATTTGCCGCTCCCCGCCGGAAAACCATCCCGCTTCGTAATTACATCTTGTCCAGCAAGCTTTCAATCCGAAAATCAGCGAGTCAGTCCAGAGAGTTGAGCCAAAAAGTAAGTGTCCAACTCAAATTTCCTTCTTCTCCTTCACCAAACGGGCTCCCACTATGGCTTCACTTATCGCCCCCTTAATTATGGCAAAATCTTCGTTTTCAACTCCAGAAGGCGGAAAAAAAGGGTGATCGCGCATGCGCGCCCTTCTTCACTTAGCCAACAACCGGACCCTCAATCGCCAAAAACCTGAATGACTTACATTGAAAGACAAGTAGCAACCTTTGACCTTTCCGTCACGTACTTTCCTCTCTTAAGGTCAACTAACAATGAAAATTCTTTCTCGAACATTCTAAAGCGCGCGAAATCATGACTTGGCGAAAATTGCCTCCCTTTCCCTGCTTTTTCACAATGAATCAAAGTTTGTACAAGATTTGCAAATAAAAAGAAAATAAATAATATTCATTTATACTAAATAATATTTCCCGAAGCATCTGTTTCTCCCCAAAATTAAAGCCTTAAATTAAATAATTCAGAATCAAAATAAAATTTAAATTTCCATAAATCATAAAATCATTCACCTAATTTTTATAACGCTATCCGGTAATTTCTCTACATAACACATCCGTAAGGAGTTCATGGATTGTTTCTTTTGATTTCTGCTGGCGAGAGTTTAGTTGATGCTTGCTATAGTCTTTTAAGCACTTCAAGCGAAAGCGCAGCTT